TCCTTCCTTCCTTCCTTCCTTCCTTCCTTCCTTCCTTCCTTCCTTCCTTCCTTCCTTCCTTCCTTCCTTCCTTAACAAAGTAAGAGCATAGCCAAGCAAAATAAAAACACAAACAGACATTTCTGAAAAGATGGCATATATTTAGACATTTTGTTAACAAGGGCTGGTAAAGACCCCAATGATTATGGCCCATATGCACACTAACCAAAAGGAAAAGGTAGGTTAGAGATTGTGAAAACAAAATGTAAACCAGGATGTTAGAAGTGAGGTCTTACATAGTTAAATTCTTTGAAATGATCCTGATATCATACACTGAGCCAAACAACAAAGAAGAAACGGCTGATTAAATTATATAGGAAAGAGGAGTTATAATTATTAGTACCTGGTGCTTTTTTACATAAATTAAATATGCATAACATTATAACTATATAAGTATTTCAGGTTTGGTTAAAGTAGTAAAAGCATTGCAGAATGCCTTTTTTATTATAAAAGAAAATTCTGATGTCATTAACATTATGGAAGTCTTGTTAAAAGAAGAAATTCAACGGAGTACTAATAAAATACATATTTTATACAAGTAAGGCTGATTTGCATATACTTATTGTGTACATTAGTTTRTACTAATGTTAAAGACTGCATAGAGGCAAACGGAAAACATGAGGAAAATGTACTGCAGAATTTCAATGGTTGTCATTTCAGGCTAAAAGAAACAGCATACTGTTATTGCTATGCTGTCAATCACGTAGGTTGAATCTAGGGTGAATCGCATTCACCCTAGAATGCTGTAAATGAAATGCTRGGGAAGATCAGAGAGCTTTCAAAGGCAGACAAACAATAAAAATGGAACAGTCCAATGTCATTGTGAACTGTGATGCAGGCAATGGCCAAACTAATAGCCTAAAACAGGCCAAGGCAATGGCTTGAACCCTGGCATGCAACTGCAGACACTCTACTGTTGTTAGCAAACTCTTTATCTATGTCAAGTAGCAAGCCAGGGACTGTTTCCAATAGGCAGTATGAGGTCACCTTGTACTAATAGGGAAAAGAGTTTGGATAAATGGACTTACAACCGTTTCATTTGCCCTTACAACCAGAAGTGCCCCTTGATCCACTTTATAGATGTAGTCTCAGATATTACACTTTTTGCCACTACAAATGGTTGCTTCTTGGAGTTGCTTTGTAGAAGAACTCACAAGAAAAGAAACAACCTACTGCATAGTACACAGGACATGGTATCAGCTGAAACAGTACATAACACGCTAAAATGTAATTATAATAAAAATAAATACATAAAAAGGACAGAAGTTTATAGCAATAATATTTAAGGGATTCACAAAAATAAGAAGCCTAGCAAAAAAAGCCCCCAAAAGAAGCTTCTTAAAGGGTTAAATATTTGCAAGCACAATGAAATTGTTTAAAGAATCATCTTCAAAACTCAGAAGTAGATCTATTTTTTTTGCAAGTCTTCCATGCTTTAAAGATAGAATTGTCATAACCTTAATGTTTTAAAAAGACATATAAAGGAAATTGATATGTTATACTTTTTTTTTCCCCCAACTAAAACTTTTGGTTTAATAAAACATAACTTTCTTTAGARGCCATGCATAATTTACCTGCATATGCAATTCTTTTCCTGTTCTAAAAGCTGTAAGGGAACTTAGATATGCATTTGTTAAGAAAATACTTTTAATAAATACTCAAAGGCTTTTATAGGCTTCAGCATCAGAGAAATCAGAGAAAAGGAAGTATCATACTTTTTTTTTTTTTTTTTTTTTTTTTTTTTTTGAGACATACTCAGGGAAGAATCCAGGGAAATACTTACCTATCAGGCTGATTTTGCACATGGTGAGAGATATAAATTATAATGAAAATTAGATACAGAGTAGATAGAAGTGTTCTGGGGAAGAGCTAAAATGACGTTTTTGGAGCGTGGACATGTGGCCACTGTAGAGTTCTAAGTCCATGAGAAAACGAACATAATCATTTAATATATTGTACTTGGATTTCTAAAAAGCATAGTATAGTCCCTCAAAAAGTACTGTTGAAGAAACTAATGAAGAAAAGGAAGGTTCTTGCGCAGATTAGGATCAGTTACAGTAAAAGAAATGAGAGAATGGTTCATATTGAGGAATGTTATCAAAGAGTTCTTCCAGGAACTTATAATTTCATAAGGAGGAATGTTATCAATGAGGACTTCCAGGAATTTATAATTTTTAGCATAAATGGAAACAGAATGAGCTGCATAACATAAATGAGCTGGAAGAGAAGGTGAGTAGGAGTCACAAAGTATGTGATGATATCCAATCATTTAGGTCACTTGAATTTACATTTGAAAGCACTGAATTACTGAATATAAACACTGAATTATTAGGTACAAATGGTATATGAAATTCAGTGTTAATAAATCTATAGTCATTCATGTGATGTAAAAGTAATATAAGCTGCAAAGAAGAACAGAGACCCTGTGATGGCAGAAAAATAACAGAAATGAGAGTACAATTACTGCAGTCTGAGTAACTAATGTGTTTCTTGAATACCATACTCAATTCGTGTTATCTCATCTCTGAAATAATATTGTAGAAATAAAGGTACAGAAAGGAAACTAGTATTAGAAATATGAGATTCATAAGAAAAAAAGACTAATTAGACCAGAATTCTTTGGCTTAGACAACTCAGAGAGGATATGACAGAAGTCTATACTATCACAAACAGGAGTGAGATGGTGAAAAAGAGCAAACATTCGCCAGACCTCATAGAACAAGGAAGAACTTTATCATACTATTGACCCAAAATGAAAAGAGGAGTATGTGGGTCTGTTTTTGTTTGGACATTTTTCATTCATAAACAAATTGAGGAATTATGATATCATCGGAGCAACTGAGAGAAATTTATCTACTTTTAAAATACAGGGAGATTCTTTGATATTTGGACATAGAGTGAGGAAAGGATTACAATAATTTCACAAGTACCTGTTTAATGTTGTAATTATACAGCTKTAAAAAGGGTTTAAAGCACTAATTAAGGTGCCTACCTCTCCTTCATTGACTATATAGAAAGCTCAGTGAATCATCACTTATATAAGGCTGCAAGTGCCTACCTCATGTCATACAGAACATCAGATTGAATTTTCACATCAGTTAGATTCAAAATAATATTTATAAGCCATTAAATTATGAACAAAAATAATGTATTTCATTCAGTTCCTGATTCAACAGTGTCCAATTAACACAGCAGGAGGAATCAGTGGGCACAGACACTGAAATCCCTCTCGTTATCTCTGCCAAATCAGATATCAAAATCAGAAGAAAACATCCTAGGTAATATATCTGAACCTACAGAATTTTTAACGCCTCATCTGATAAGGTAATAGTTAATTTTATGTAAACTCTATGCAAATATGAAAGGAAAGCTCTCTAGGTTAACAGTTCCTCTTATGTATTTGGAATAATGAAGAAGTAAAAAACGAAAGATACTTTTGGAATGCAGGCCTCTTGCAAGGGCCAGCCAGAGCCAAAACCAAAGCCAGATCTGAAACCAAAACTTTTTACTGATCATAGACTGGCAGTCCTAAATCAGTCTGTTCTTACCTTGCGTCATTGTCTTTACAAAGAAGTAGAAAAAAAAAATGATTCGTCTTTTTCAACACAACTTATTACTTASAGTTTTTTAAACTCTAAAGATAAATTTCATAGTTAAGATATATTGTATCATGCATAAACAGCCAATGAACTTAAAAGAAACTCACACATTATCACAGTATTTCAGCGCTTAGAAAAAGGGAGAAAGAGAAAAAAAAAAAAGAGACCCAGGCTTAGGCCCAGGCATAACATTTTTCCTCTGCCATTCTCTGTCCTACCCTCTTTCTCTCACTTCACCTTATGCATTCTCAGGTTTTCTTTCAATAACGTCACCATGGTTTCCTACAGTCTACTTGATGTCTTTCAGCAGTGTCTCCTTCTTCGCCTCGCAGAATATTCCACAATTTATTTCACCTTAACATTATAACAGATTTTCTGAGCTTTAATTTTTCCCCCTTATCGGTTTCTATTACTGCTTGTTTTGTTGCATTTTGGACATTTCAGACAGTATCTATGAAGAGTTCTTGATGGCTTTTGATCTACTTCACACACACATCCCATAAACAAACAAACAAACAAATGTTCTTAAGAAAGTAAAAGTTTTCTTTCTGAAGTTCCCAAGAAGCTTTAATCCGGTAACATTTCATGCTATGAAGTCCTCTCTTCCTGCCATGAATCTTGCTGTAAGCAGTTTGGTATTAGGGTAGCATGAATGTGATCTACCACATTTTTACCATAACCAGAAGAAGGCTAAACTGCTCCTTGTGGATGATTGAGAATGTTTGGGGAAAAAAAAGAAAAAAAAAAAACCAGTTCTTTCAAAATGATGGCATTTGGATTGTCTTTCCTGCCCCATTTGTGAACCTCACAAGAAGGAGATTGATTGAAGTCATCCACCATATTGAACAGGAAACGGGAAAAGGGAATTGCTGTTTATTTTTGCTGGGTGGAAGGAACAATGGGGTTAATTTCCATGAAATAATTGTAGTTTCAGTCCCTGTGATCTTGGCATTCATTAATACTTTCTGCTTTAATGGATGTCTGTGATCCTTGATGATTGCTGCCAAGGAAAGTAATCATCCAATTTGAGGCTTTTGAAAAGATGAATAGCCTGCATTTTTTTTACATTTTGTTCTCTTCCAGTGATGGATTCATCATCAGACACAGGTTTCCCAGGTGCTGTCCTGCCTTCAGGTTTCTTGGCTTGGGGATCTTCCTGGCTTATACACATCTTTTCACTGGGTTTTAGGCTGGGGAAGCAGTAGTCACCAACCTCAAAAAGGAAAACTGGCTCAGTGCTATCTGGGTTTAAGATCACCAAATTACTTTCTGACAATGGTTGCTCCTTGGGAAGCTTATTTCCCTTTGGCAAGATGGGTAAGGAAATATTTGTGGATTCTGAAGGTCCATGCAGACCTGGAGGGACAGTAAGATAGTCCCCAAATGCATCCAGGTGCAATTCTGGAGAAGGGTTTGGTGTTGGAGCTGAAACTGCAACYATGACGCCAGATTTAGCAGGAGAAAACTCAGAGCAAGAGCAGTCCTCAGGAGGATGAATCTCCTGTGAGTCACAAGCYAACTCTCCATCAGTGGTGAGTGCCATATGGTTGGAGTCTCTGGCTGATGGCAGTAAGAGGCTCTCTGTGGTGATGTAGCCCAAGGAGCACTGCTGGGGAGAGCCAGTACAGCCAAGAGCCACTGGAGATTTCTGCTCTTCTGGTCTCACATGCATGCATTTCCCATGGTCCAGTGAAATTTCCTCCCCATTGCTGAGGTGCTGCATCATTTCCCTCTGGTGTGGGAGCAAGSAGGGCTGCAGAGGAAGTGCTCCTGGCTGTGCCTGCCTCTGTGGAGCCTGGGAACAGGCTTCCTTTGGGAGCATGATGTAGTGAAGGGACCCTGGTTTCCTGTGGATTCCTGCTGGGTCTGCTTGAAAGGCGTGGTGCATACCAGGCTGTGAAGAGATCACTGGGCTGTACAAGTATGGCCCATTGAAATCAAAGCAAGTGATTGCTGCCTGGGAAGCAGTGTTTGCATCAGCACTGTTCTCCCTTGAAAAAGGAAAGGAAGGATAAGCCATCTCATTTGATGGGCAGGCAACTGGTGCATGCTCTGGCGCATCTAAAGCATGGTATAGGTTCTGTGGATCCAACGCAATCTGAGAAACCTCTGCCTTTTCAACTTGCCATTCGGGGGACTCTGTCAAAGTGTTTTTCTGCCTGAATGTGGGAAAAGTAAAAGCTGCTATTGAGAAATATTCTTGTGATGAACATTACATATAAAAAGAAGCTACAAAGAAGATTAGAAAATAATCTTCACGGAGAAAGCAGATTAAGCAAGATAGTAAGGAAGGAAAAAAAAAAAGGCTCATTCTCAGAAGGTCTAGACTTTTTTTTGGTGACAGAACATCTCACAGTGTCTCTACAAAGTTCACTAACCTGTCCACGACTTGAAGCAAACTGGCCTGGTTCATCTTCTCAGAAAAGTTGTTTTTGTTGAAGTCTAGCTGACTGTTTGTCAGCCAGTTTCCTAGGTGTACTTTCTGAAAAAAAGAAGTAGTGATGAGGAAAAGAGAGGATGAGGAAAAGTTTGTCACTGGCAGTGGAATCAAGAGCCTCAAGGACAAAGGGGAGCCTACAGCAACTGACAATCTGTATACAACTTCATTAACATGACTAGAAGGTTCCCTCTATTCTCCAGAAGACTGTTCCTTCACACCTGTGTTTCCATATCCCTGACCTAACTTTACATATATATATGTAAACAGCATATATAAGGCAGGAGCTGCTCCTGTAAAGAACTGGTAAGGCTGCTGCAGGTCCTGCCTAGAAACAAAGCTACTGCATTGCTAACACAGCTTAGGATAAGGTAACTGACTGAAAGGAGGGAAACTTTCAAAATCAGTAAGAGCAGCGAGTACTTATGAGGAAACAATTATATCGGAAGCAAAGCTATAGAGGTATTTCTTAGAGTGGGAACAAGATTTTAATTTTTACTATAGAGATAAGGCAAAACTACCAAACTTGAGACTTTAGTATAAGCATAAATATTCTGTTGTCTGGTACAGAGCTTCCTTCCTTAGTTTTTCCWTTCTATTTGACAATGATGTGTAGAACTACGTCATTACCGTGTAAGTTCTTTTTACAGCAAAATAAGAAATGTGTCATGCTTAAAAGTCTTTCACTCAAACATAAACATACTGTAAGTTGTGTGCATTGCCTCACACAAAGGTCATGTTGTAAATCATAAAAATTGCTTTGCCATGTAACTAAACACACTGTAACACACTCCCTGTGTGCTCAGAATAGAATCAATTCAAAAATATGTAATTCAAAAATATGTGTTGGGGAAAACAGGTTTTATAAAATCAGTGGTATAACTCTTGCAAAATTAGAATAGTTTTATTGCAGAAATCTAGAGGGATGTCTATTATATATTTCCCAGATGTTGGTTTGGAGGATTTTTTCCTACTTAATTGAACCCTACCTAAGTGTGCACTTTGCTTTCCAATTACGAATTGTTGTCTTGGCAACAGACCACATTACATGTTATACTTTTTTTCCAGAAACTCCTATAGCTTAAAAAAATGAAAATTTCTTAAATGAGCCTAGAACCTACCCTAAAAAAACCTGGAAGGTTGGAAGGGATCTCTGGAGATGATCTAATTCAATCTCTCTATTCAAGAAGGGTAATTTAAAGTACATTCTCCAAGATTGTGTCCAGGTGGGTTTTGAAGACACAGAAGAAGACCCCACAACTTCTACGGACTTGTGCTGCTGTTCAGACCCCCTGACAGTAAAAAAGATTTTCAACATGTTCACAGAGAACTTCTTGTGTTTCAGTTTATGCTTGTTGCCTCTTATTCTCTTAATGGACACCATTGAAAAGAGTCTACCCCCATCATCTTAACACCTTCCCTTAAGTATTTGTATCACTGATAAGATCCCCTCTTAGTCTTCTTATCCCTAGTCCGAACACTCACAGAATCACAGAACAATTAAGGCTAGAAAGGACATTTGGAGATATTCTAGTTCACCTCCCCTGCACAAAGAGAGTAACCTAGAGTACGTGGCACAGGACTGTGTCCAGGTGGGTTTTGAGTATCTCCAGAGAAGGAGAATCAACAGTCTCCACAGGCAACCTGTTCCACTGCCCTGTCACCCTTACAGTCAAGAAGTTTTTCCTCATGTTCATATGGAACATCCTGAGCTTCAGTTTGTGGTCGCTGCCTCTTGTTCTACCACTGAAAAGTAGTTCTACCACTGAAAATAGTCAGGCCCCATCCTCTTGACATCCCCTCTTAAGGAATTTATAAACATTGATAAGATCTCCTCTCAGCCTTCTCTTCCGTAGGCTAGACATTCCAGCCTATCAGAGGCTTCTCTCTACATAAGAGAGATGCTCCAGGCCCCTGCATGATCATCGTTGTACCTCTGTGCTGGACTCTCTCCAGTAGTTCCATGTCTCTCTTGAACTGGGAAGCCCAGAACCGGAGACAGTACTCCAGATGTGGCCTCACCAGGACTGAATAGAAATTCACTTCCTCCAACTTGCTGACTATGCTGTTCCTAATGCAGCCTAGGATACCGTTGGCCTTCCTGGTCACAATGGAAAATTGCTGGCTCATGGTTATCTTCTTGGTTATCTTGGTCAGCCTCCAGACTGTACTGGTGCATAGGCTTGTTTAGCCCTAGGTGCAAGACTCTGTACTTGTCTTTGTTAATCTTCATGAGGTTCCTCTCCACCCAACTCTCCAACCAGTCAAGGTCTCTCTGAAGAGCAGCATGGCCCTCTGGTCTACCAGCCACTCCTCCCAGGTTTCTATCATCACAGAATGTGAGGAGGATGCACTTTGTCCCTCTATCCAGGCCACTGATGACTCATTTGAACAAGACCAGAGCCAGCACTGATTCCTGGGGGAYACCACTAGCTACCTGCCTCCAACTAGRGTCTGTGCTGCTGATCACAGTGCTCTCAGCTCTGCCATTCAGCTGGCTCTCAGTCCACCTCACTGTCCACTCATCTAGCCCTCACTGCCTCAGGTTGCTCTTTCTCTTTACTCTGGAACAGCTCCCTGTCAGTCTTCTCCAAGACTGCAGCTCTGCAAAACACAATTCCCCATTACCTGCAGGTAGCTCTGGATCAGGAGACTCTTGCTGGGGTTTGGAATGTTTTCCTCCCAGCTTTTCTTCTTCCTGCAACAACAACAGCACCAAGTTTACAAGATTTACCTCTTGCCTTTCCTGCAAAGGGAACAGAATACACCTCA